CCCCCGGCTGCCCACCTTGAGTCTATGGATGTCTCCCCCGCCCCCCCTTACTCCCTCTGCTTACCTAAATTTGACCATTTCTGGCTCCATTTCAAGCAATTCTCGCACAGGAGAACGGGGCACATTTGTGGAGAATTTCTCTGTTAATCAGAATAAAAGGTGAAAGTAATTGGTAGGCTCCCATAGACATAAACTGGGCTTTGCCATCTGAGGACCGGTCAGTACCTATCAGTGGTCGCATCATGGGGTAGTACACCTTCCACACCGTCTCTAGCGACATGCCACTATCCATATAGATGGCACCGGCGAGTGACTCAAAAATGTCCCCCATGGCCTTGGGGACTTGAATGCCCTCTTCCTTCTCTTGGTCCTCCTGAAGTCTCCTGAGCTATTACAGAGAGAAAAGAGTGGTGAGCAGAAAGGCCCGCAGAAGGTATGTTTTCCCCATGGGTGACTGTTATTCTACGGCCACGATGGGAATGGCCTCCACAGGCCGGCGTCAGCCAGGGCGCTGCAGTGACAGACTCTTCACATATCTTTGGTTTGTAGAAAGGGCAAGTTTCCCCTCAGAGTTGTCATGGCAGGAGAAAAACAAAATTGAGAGGGAAAAAGTATACAAACCTGTTCTCCATTTACTATACTACACTCATCCAGAAAAAAGATTCTTTTTAGACACCAAAAAGAAATAAACAAACCTAACTTTAACCCCAAATGAGAACCAGTAGGAATTCACTAGTGATCAAATGCCGGCGTGCTGCACGTTCGGCTTTAAGAATTAATTCCTACTCGCATGGTGAGGATGTGCAATTTGGAATCACTTGGTCACTAAGAGCCCCAGTGGTGTTGTGGCTATGTGTTGGGCTTCCAGATAAAGCTTTATGCTCTCATAAAGAGTTATGGTCTCAGAAACAACAGGGGCAGTTTCAGCTGCCCTAAAAGGTCACTGCCAGTGACGTTTGCTGAAAGGCATTGAGTGTTCAGGTCACTATCAGTAGGAACAGACTCGATGGCAGTGATGTGTTCACTCCATGCTAGGGGCTGACACACAGAAGGGAAGGGGTGCAAATGCATAAAGCCAGCTATGGCTGCCAGTGGCTTCGTGACAAGTACCACCCAGAGGCAGCCCTTCTAGCTCTGGGAGCCTCTCTGGAGGGGTGAGTGGGCCACGGGGTTTATCATCTGCCCGCACAGCTGGGGAGCCTATCAGCTAAGAGCCTGGTAACTACCCAGCCACAAGGGCAGTATAGACACATCGTGGTGAAGCTGTTTAGAGAACCCTCGAGGCTCATCCTTATGTAGGGGTCTTCGCTCCTTTCAACACATTTAATCTACACATATGAGCAGGAGATACACCCAAAATTCGTTATTTCTCAGATGGCAGTCTCTTGCTTATTTTCATTTCCCCATTTTCTGAAGCCATCATGAATTACTGTGCAGTAGTCCCCACCCCCAGCCAGTCCTGGGCTTTAGGGCTCGGCTCAAGGGGAGTCCCTCTGGGACATGGGGCACAGTGAATGGTGTGACCCTTTGCTGGGCATGCCTACCCAGGAGGGTATGCTGAGCCCTTCTAGAGTTTCCCGTATGGACCCCAATAAATTTCTTCCTTTTTGCTTAAAAAAAAAGAAAAAGAATTACTGTACAGCACAAGAGAAAAGGCGAGGAAGAGGATAACCTTCTAAATGGACTGTTTCACCATCTGAATTCTGTTTCTTTGGAATTCTGATTACTAGAAACACTGGACACTCATTTTTAACACATGCCAGTGCTTTTGAACTCAGACAGATTTTTAAATTTTTCAAAGTTAGCCTCTCTCATTTGCTGATGAGGAAACCGAGGGCCAGAGCAGAGGAGCTTTCTTAACATCAAACAGCGAGTGAGTTAGCCAACCCTGAGGGTGACCTGCTCATTAACCAGATGATCCTGCAACCCGAGAGAAAGAAAAGGAGGTACAGACCCACCACAACCACTGTGCCCTGCGGGCCTCCAATTCGAAGTTTGAGAAAAGACTGGGGAGAGGGACCAGAGGTACATTTTTAAGAGAATGCACCTCTGCTCTCCCTGCAAGCCCAGCCCCGGCCCAGCTCATTTAGCCCAGGGGGCAAGGCGCTGGAGAGGCGGAGGCCAGGAGCCTCCTGGTTTCCAATATGCACAGCCTTGGGATGGTTTCTAAGGCTACTTTTTTTTTCTTTCATTTTTTAAAAAATTGTGTTATTAGTGACTCATACAACTCTTATCATAATCCATACATACATCAATTGTGTAAAGCACATTTGTACATTCATTGCCTTCATCATTCCCAAAACATTTGCTCTACAGTTAAGCCCTTGGCATCAGGTTCTCATTTTTTCCCCTCCCTCCCTGGTCCCCCCTCCCTTCATGAACCCTTAATAACTTATAAATTATTACTTTGTCATATCTTGCCCTGTCTGACGTCTCCCTTCACCCATTTTTCTGTTGTCCATCCCCCAGAGAGGAGGTCACATACAGATCCTTGTAATCGGTTCCCTCTTTCCAACCCACTCTCCCTCTAGCCTCCCAGTATCGCCACTCACACCACTGGTGCTGAAGGGATCATCGCCCTGGATTCCCTGTGTTTCCAGTTCCTATCTGTACCAGTGTACATCCTCTGGTCTAGCCAGACTTGCAAGGTCGAATTTGGATCATGATAGTATGGGGTGGCGGGGGAAGCATTTAGGAAGTAGAGGAAAGTTGTATTTTTCATCGTTGCTACATTTCACCCTGACTGACTCATCTCCTCCCCGAGACCCCTCTGCAAGGGAATTTCCAGTGGCCTAAAAATGGGCTTTGGGTCTCCACTCCACACTGCCCCCCCATTCACTATGGTAAGATTTTTTTGTTCTGATGATGCCTTACACCTGATCCCTTCAACACCTCGTGGTTGCATAGGCTGGTGTGCTTCTTCCATGTGGGCTTTGTTGCTTCTGAGCTAGATGGCCGCTTGATTACCTTCAAGCCTTTAAGACCCCAGACGCTATACCTTTTGATGGCCGGGCACCATCAGCTTTCTTTGCCACATTTGCTTATCCACCCATTTGTCTTCAGCAATCTTATCATGGAGGTGAGCACATATGGTTTTTGTTCTTTGATGCCTGATAACTGATCCCTTCGGCACCTCGTGATAACACAGGCTGATGTGTTCTTCCATGTGGGCTTTGTTGCTTCTGAGCTAGATGGCTGCTTGTTTACCTTCAAGCTTTTAAGACCCCAGATGCTATATCTTTCAATAGCCGGGCACCATCCGCTTTCTTCACCACATTTGCTTATTTACCCACTTTGTCTTCAGTGGTTGTGTCGGGAAGGTGAGCATCATAGAATGCCAATTTAATAAAAGAAAGTATTCTTGCATTGAGGAAGTACTTGAGTGGAGGCCAAATATCCTCTAAGGCTACTTTTCTGGTCAAGACGCCTCATTTTTCTCAGGGAAAGACAAGGAAATCCATTACACTTTGACAATCACACTCAGAGAGAAAGAGACAGAGAGAACCAGAATCAGAGCCACAGTGAAGTCCACGTGGAAGAAATAACAAGGAAAGTGGCACCTGAGATAGGAGTAAAATCCTGGATATCTTAAAAGCAGGCAAGACAAGGAGGTGGGAGGACAGCAGGAGGAGGGAGAGGTATGCAGATGGATGTTAATGAAAGGTTGGAGGAGATGGGAAAAATGGAAAAATCTAAGCAACATCCCTTCCTACCAAAAATGTAAAACAGTTCCCCCAAACATTAGATTTAGCTCCCTCCCCCGAGAACCTATGGCTGAACTTCACAGCAGAAGTCCCCTAAATTCCAAAAGCTGAAAATGTCCAAAGTTTGGTTTCCATATGAGATTTTGCCGGTTTAGCAAAGGAAGGGCCTATATGCTAAGCTGCTTACCTGCCACCGTCACCAAACTTGCTGGTCCACTGAAAGACCAAGACAGAGGAGCAGACAGATCTTTCCCTAAGGGGAAGGTTACCTAGTCATCAGACTGAGGACAGAAAACCAGCTGCAACCCCGTTGTCACACACCCCAGTGTTGGTATTCAACAGGGATGCAGCGCCCAGAGACAGGGCCCCTTCCTGGCTTTCCACAGAGAGCACCAGTGAACCGACAGGTGAAATCCCCGGAGCCCTGGCTACGCCCTCAGGGGCACTGACCTCGGAGTCCATCCCTTGCGGCCAGTTCTCCTCCAGCTGGAACTGCACGAAGCCATGGATGACGTCGACGAGCGTGGGCGAGGCAGCCTGGAAGTACTTGTGGAAGTCGTACTTGACAGCCAGCGAGGCAAAGACGGTGTTGTTGACCAGAGCGGAGCGCAGGTCGGTCAGGACCCCCGGGGAGTGCTGCCTCGGGTCTTCATAAAGGTGCTTGGTGATGAGGTAGTCCAGGATGGCATCGCCCAGGAATTCCAGGCGCTGGTAACAATCTGAGAGAGGCCCGCCCGCGGGGCCGTGAGCGTGTGCACGCCGCGTCAGCTTACCTACCTAGGAGTAAGGGCCAGGCGACTGGGGCCAAACCCGCGTAAACGACGGGATAGGCTCCCGCACACCTGCCTGAAGGACAGGATGATGACAGGCCACGCACTGACAACTCTGGGACAAAGCCTCTGGAGAGAGGTCATTGGCAGATCAAGCACATTTTCGTGGAGAGATAGGGTTGTAAAAATCTTTCAAGGGGTTAAGAGGCCGGTGCTTGTCAGGAAAAACCACTCCCTGGCCCAGAGCACTCTCGCTGATTCTCCTTTCCCCAGGGGCCCAACTTCAGTCCCACCTACCCACCCACCCTTGGGACAGTTCCTTGCTGCTCCAGGGTGGTTACAGATACCTCGGGAAGGAGACCCCCTTCCCTTTGGCAACCCAAGGACTTCAACCCAGGCCTGAATGACTGGCCTAATGGGACCTTATGGGGTGCACTGGCTCACAGTGATGAGAGAGAATCCATTTTGGAGGGAACTGAGGCAGGAAGAGTCAGGGTGGGGGCAGGGAGCAGGATAGAAGCAGGCTGGTTTCAGATGCAAGAAGTTTCTTAGAAAACCACTTGTCCTTTCTCCTCCCCATAAAGAATGTGCTTTCCTCCCTCCTGCGTCTGCCCAGCGCACAGGCAGAGAACCCGATGGCTTTGGCTTTCCTGCTGGCTAAGGTACCATTTCCACGATCACCAGGGAGGAACCCAGGATCCTGGAGCCTGGGAGCCTGTTCTTGAGTGAGGGAACGGCCCTGTGAGACAGAGACAGCAACAGCAGGCTGTCAGAGCAGGCACACCCGGGCCCCTCCCAGGACCCCCATGCTAGATAGGAGCGGAAGTGCAGCAGGACAGTTAGACACTGTAGAGCAACAGTGGACAGGCATGCAAGAGACATGGGCACAGGCCACACCAGCAAGGGGATGCCCAGTGCTGAGGCGCCCGGTGATGCCAAGATCCTCACAGGATAAAAACTTTTCCCAGCAAACAGAGTGACAGAAGTGGGGCCGGACCACACCCTGTCAATGCAAGGCGAACCAGGTGGCCCAAGGGTCATAGGGCACCAGACAGCTTGGCTCCTGATTCTCAAAACTCCCCGAGGACGAGGAGATAAGGGATCCTTACTTTTTTCTCTGGCATCCCTCTGCACATAACCCCCCCACCCCCACCCTACCCCTGTCCCACCACCACTGCCGGCCTCCTTACAACTCCTGGCATCCTTACCAGTGATGGTGTTTACATGGCAGGAGGCATGCGTGAACGCCTGGAGAAGGTATGCCTTGTTCTTAAACCTGAAGTTGATGCTTTCCTCAAAGGCCTTGAAGCCCGAGATCAGGTGGTTCAGAGTCTTATTCGTATCTGGGTGGTTGAGCATGCACCTGGGGGGAATCTGCAGGCAGCCATACTCCCGGCTCCGCAAGCCCGAGGTGGGGGACCGGGGCTTCGAGGCTGCATGGGAGTCCAGTGGGAGCACCTGCAGGCCCAGGGAGCAGAGGAAGAGCTGGGCTGCCCGCTCCCTGCAGCTGGTCAGGTAGCAGCCCAGCAGGGCCTCCACGCAGTCAGCGATGCTCTTGTCGGTGATGCACTGCTCCGTATGCAGGTCATAGGAGATGGACAGCCTGGCTGCCTCAGCACCGCAGCTCTCGTCGTCTTCGTAGTTGGCCTCGGGAGTCCTCCACAGCAGGGCCTCCTCCCCGTCCTCTTCCTCCTTAGCGTCCCTGTCCGGCTTGCCCATCTCCAGCACGTAGCCTCTTTTCTGCAATAAGGGTGGGAAACAGGAGGGGACAATGGGCGGGAGGGGAGACAGAACTGTTTTTGAAAGGGTTGGAAACTCCATAAAAGCCAAGGTTAGGGATAATTTCAAATGACAACCACAAATACCAAAAGGCAACTTCAAAGGTGTGGTCATTTGTTTTCAATAAACATAAATAAGTTATTTAATCACATAAAGTGGAATATGTTCTCTGAATGGCCGTTTTTAGTTATAAATTGACCTTCCTTCTCTCTATCCACCAGGAGGCCTTAGGGCAAAGGTTGTGTACACGGACAGAAAGTCAAGACGGATGCCCACAATACCAGGTGCTGGGCCCATGACCAAAGGCTCATCGCAGGGGTCTGCAAGTTTACGGACAAAGCGAGAAGTGTGGTAGGGCCGCTGATGGGGGAAAGATTATTGAGGCAGGGCAGTGGAGTTGCAGATGTGGGGAAAGCACGAACTTGGAAAAAAGTTAAATATGGGAACCGATAAAATTATTTTTAAAAATCTCTGCAGCATTTAAAATATACAATGAAGTTATGTAGTGCAGTTTGACTCAGTGGTGAAACCCCTCACAGGGCCTTGAATGAAGAGAGAGGGCTTTAAAAAATAAACA